TGTGGTCTGAGGGCTTGAACATTGGTTCACGAGTTCATTGCATTGCTCTTATTTGGATGGAATCTTGGTGCATGTGAGCTATGTGATCCCCACGTCCGCGGCTGAGGAGGCGGGCTGCAACCCCGCGGCCGACTTTTTCTGCGGCCGCACCATGTGCAGGTGGAGCCTCACTCCCAAAATCGGGGTGTGCGCATCACCTGCGCATGCCGTCCCCCGCCATAATGAACTACCCCCCAACAAAGATGACAAACAGGTAAGACTGCTATAGCTATTGATACTATATTGAATCAGAAGCAGATCAATGCAAAAGGTGCCTCTGAGAAAGAAAAGCTGTATTGTGTGTATGTAGCAATTGGTCAGAAGCGTTCGACCGTAGCACAATTAGTGAAAATTCTTTCAGAAGCGGGTGCTTTAGAATATTCTATTATTGTGGCAGCCACTGCATCAGATCCTGCTCCTCTTCAATTTCTTGCTCCTTATGCAGGTTGTGCTATGGGAGAATTTTTCCGAGACAATGGAATGCACACTCTAATTATCTATGATGATCTAAGTAAACAATCAGTGGCATATCGACAAATGTCATTATTGTTACGTCGACCACCAGGTCGAGAAGCTTTCCCAGTTCTCACCCACCAGACCCGCCCCTCTCTCATCCACCTAGCCCCACTCGCTCCCCTGCCCCAAATGACAATGACCCGTCTCCCGATTACCTGACGGAGCCCCCGGTTGAAGATCATCTCTCTCCGGAGCACATACCGGAGCCAATTGATCAAGACCACAACGAGTCTCTGCCACCCGGGCAACCTGCAGAATTGAACGAGGACCCCCCTGCCGTAAACGGATCCCCCATGCAACCTGCGGAATCAGACAATGTCATAGTGCTGCAGCGAGGGCACTGTGCGTACTATGCCATTAATGTATGTCTCCCTGCTTACAATTGTAATCCTTATACTGTTGCTGATTTCACAGACGTTGTTCGCTGGATAGAAGAAGAGCACCGTGCCGTCTGCCCAGACGACGACAGCGCTGCGCCTGGGGTGAACATAGAAGTCCTGGCTATGGCATTTATGGGTAGGCGACTGCAATTCCAG